TTCCAGTACTGTTCTGCTGCACCAGTTACACTAGCAGCTCCTTTGGCTTTTTAAATGATGGAAAAAATTTCAGCATAATATAAAGGAAAACTGCAGGCCACACATCCTTAAGGCACATCCTTAAGGGTTTACTGAGTAGAAGAAAAGAAGTCCAGACCAGGAAAGGAATCTGCATGGAACTGAACTGCAGAATTAGAGACTTCTATTCCTTGTCTTTATTCTTCTTTTACATAAATCAAAATGGAAAATATGCAGACTAACAAAATTAAGGACCACAGTAAAATATATCCCAAGCATGGATATACAAGCATGAAAACATGACACGGAATGTCCAGTTGTGTCTCTTTGATTGATACTTTTTCCTCAGTAGGACATAAGAGAAAAAGATATTGTCAAGTTACAATTTAGAAATTGAAATGTGTGATCTGAGCCCCACTTTACATATACTTTAATCTCTCCCCATCCAAGAATGCCTGTTTCACATTGTTTAGAAGACAGTAAGGAAGAAGACCATGAAGGTAAGGAAAGTGCAGGATAAATAAATGGAGGGAAAATGATTTCTCATGAATGAGAAGTGATTTGCTGCAGGTATTGAAGATTTTATTTTACCTTAACACACAGATCATTGACTGTTTTAAAAAGAATATAAAAAATCAACCTCAATATAGTCTACATTTTTAACACCATCTACTTTGTTGAATAGCGACTGAAATTTCTGATACATCATCACTTCTAGGGCTTCCAGTGAAAAAAGGTCATTCCTCTTACATTATCACGCTCATGGTCTAGCAAACTTAATGAGAAAATTTCTTAGACTAGCCTAGTCCTACGCAGCAAATACTTTTAAATAATAGATGCTTACCTGCTCCATTCTTTTTATGGTGCCTTTTATGGTCTGTGCTTTTTACTCAGCCTTGATGTCCTCCCTATGTTCAGAAGAAAAACCTACTTTGATGTTTCAACAGACTGCTTCTATTCAAACACTGCAAAACAGGGAAAGCTGAAAGACACTCTATTCCACATATTGAAGTACGGAATGGCAGAATATTGCCAGTGATATCTGCCTCTGCTAGCTGCATCCAGCACCCAGTCCAGGCAATTGCTTAGTTGCAAAGTCTCAGCGATGAAACCATATTTCTCCATAAGTGTGAGATACATTTAATGAAGTGAAGTT